CTAAAATTTTTAAGTAATTATTTAACACTAAATACATTTACTGGGGTGTAATAATATTAGCTGAATTTTTTTTGAAACAGCTTTAAAATAGCATAAAAAAATTAAAATGAGATGAAATTTCTGTTGTAAAAAGCTATCGACTGCAAGCAAACGTTTAATTTATAGGTATACTGTCTGATTCTCATAAAAAAAAAAATTTTATCATAACACAACCAATCAAGATTGAAAATTAATTGTAAAAATAAAAACTGCGCTGATCTAGGCACAATAATTTGTGAATACAACCCTCGTAGGTGCACCGCACCGCTCAACTTCCTAATAAAAAGAATCGACCACAATATCAGAAACACTCAAGCTCTGCATAAAATAAAAGCTCCGAATAAAATTGCATCATCGAAATCGCATACGATTCTTACACACACGCGGCGTCAGTGTATACATATAATATTATGTATACAATACCTAACGAGTACTTGTATGTATACGTATTAGCGTCAAAGTCGCTCAATGTATAGAACAGAGGAGAGAAAAAAAAAAAAAAAAAGATAATAAAAAAAGCAAAAAAGACCTCAGCTAGTCGTAGCGTATAGAGAAGAGCCGTGCGCGCGCGCGCGCTCGAGATTAGATTACGCAGCCTATAGGTTGTACATTACGTATACATGTGGATACTCCTCGATTCTATTCTCTGACGTGTGCGACGCGTGTTAATTTTCGTTTCGCGCTTTTCTTTTCTTGTCCGTCCCTCGAGCCGCTCTTTCCTCGGTGACAGTTAGTGCCGAGATGTCCGTGCTCGAGACGATGTCGTCCCGGCGTACCCTGAGGTCCAGCTCTGGCAAGAAAAAAGGTAACAACGACGACGCGGAGGCAGAGTCGTGCGAGGAAGTGGATCTGCGGCTACCGATGTTCCCGGAGTTGGTCGCGGGCGAGATATCGAGCGAGGAATTCTTGGCAGCCGCGGAAGGGGTCGTCGGCATGCTCGGTACAATTTTTCTGCCCAAATTTACACAATTTCGTTTCTGTTAAACTATAATATGCGCGTTAACGGCGCGATGACTAACCCCCGAAATTGGTGACTCTAATCGTTGTTTTTTCAATGAAGCCGATCACGTTTATTAGCCGGTTTTTATTTTGGTTGCGGTGACTCTTCGCGGTAAAATACGTAAAACTTCGCGAAATCGCGATTGACGATTGCGAAAATTTAATGCATTGTTTCGTATGATGTGCGCTAGGCTTACCTTTGCGTACCAAGCGCTCACCGTATCAAGAAAAATGATACTTCAGCTTGTACAAATACAAAAATTATAGCGCTGGAAAATCGGTATTTTTCTCCGTTGTGGAATCTATATTTGTATAATGTGATGGAATTAATGTCCCGTAGATTACTTCGGCAAACTGTTCATGCCAGTCAAGTGCGACATGCGGGGAAATGTCAACGTAAGCCCTCGAACGATAATAATCTTTGGTTGTAATATTCTAAGGCTCGACGTGGTTTAATTAAATGTTAAATTATTACAGAAGCTCGTCAAAAGGATGAACGTTGACAAAAAAAATCACGACACGTTACAAAAGATGCTACTGTTGGAAAAAGATAAAACGGATAGCCCAGTGGCGATTGACGCGCTCATGTGGTTGAGGAGGTGAATTTTCATTGTTTGTCATTAGTGTGTAAAAAAAAATTTTTGTTTTTTTTTTTTGTTTTTATCTCCAACCATATTTTATCAAAACTAGTAGTCATTTACACGCTATTGACATTGAGTATTTGTACCCATCATCGTTATTACTTTTATTAAAGATAATAATTTATTTTTATAATTCTAAAAAATATATATATATAAAAAAAAACAGTGACTAAACGATTTTTAATTTTGTAAATCGAGTGCTGCGGACAAATATTCGGTTGAAAAATGACTATATTATAACATCATAGGGGACTGCACATGATTCAATTGTTCTTCGAGCACATGGTGAACGATTTTCACGCTGAGCAGCAGACAGAAGATCTTGTGGCGAATCTTAAAAAGTCTTACGAGTTGAGTCTAGAGCCGTACCACGGATATATGATCCAACAACTGTTTGGGGTGAGTTTCGAGGGAAAAATAAAAGTCGCGCCCGTATCTTTTACTCCCAAAGATTATTGAAAATGTGTAGAATTTTTGAAATTTTTTGTTTTACGTTGCAGCTTTTATCTCGGATGATCCCGACGCGCACGCAAATTTTTCGAGCCCTCGCGAATGGCTGCGACGTCGAGCAGAGAATCGTGATAAGGAACGTCGACAGATTTTGCAAAAGACTGAGAGCCAACGTCACGAACCTCGAGGCTTTCTACGACGAGCACAATTTAGAAAATAATTACAAAGTTTGACGACTGCTGGATACGATTTTTTTAGTACTTTTTTTTTTTCCAAGCCATATGTTTTGAAATAAAAAATGTTCCTGCAAAAGTGTTCAAGTTACCGCTAGTTGTATATTTTGTAACTTAATTTATTAAACAAATAAAAAATAATTTTTACATTATGTACATATTGTTTTTAATTGCTTACGAAAAGTATAAAAATTTATTTCAGCGTATTGTCGATACCGTACATCTGAGCCATGAAAAATCGCTTGGCGTGATAATCGGCCGACATTTTCAAGACAATTGTGCCGGTTACGATTTCGGCGGTTAGAAACGCCAATGCTATCCCATTGATGATCCTTTCGTTTCGGTAATACATGGAGTTTCTGTCGAACACTAGGAACATCAACAGCGGGAATTGTAGCAGAGTTGAAATGAGCCAGAAGCTGGCCAGTTCCGGGATCTGGAATTAATTGTAGTTGAACACTGCTGAATACATGAATAATTGTATCGTATTTTAGTAATTTCTACAATTTAATTAAAAAAAAAAAAAAAAAAAATTCTTTTAGAAATCTCAAAGAAGACTTTTCGCTTATTTGATCGGACAACACTCTCACTATATTCCGGACAGTCTCTTTAACATATATATTATGTAAATATGTAGCACTCACTTTTTCGCCGAGATTGCCAACATACCCCAAGTAGAGCCTTGCACATTCCAAGGTTGCTGCTGTGAGAAATGCCGCGACAGAGACGAACTTGTAGACCTTCGAAAGCTCGTAATACTGCGAGCGGAAGTCAAAGGAATTTTTTTTAGTTTCACACTACTCTAAAAATTATTCATAAATTTTTCTTTATGCATATAGGAGATAGAAACGTGGTCAGGGACTATTTTTAAAACGTGTTTTTTTTTTT